CGGCGCAGCTCGGGGCCCGGGCCGGGATGTTGGCGCGTGTACGAGCAGGAGCGTCACCGCTAGCCGCGCTTGGTGCGGGGCGCGCTCAGAGCGGGTCGCGCAGGATCGTACGGAGGCTTTTTGCTTCGTTGGAGGCTCGAGTGCCTCCCGCCTTGGGATTCAAAACCAAATTAATTTTCCCCGAGAAATAGCTGGAGTGCAGTGGAAGCCATTGAGCAGTCGTTTGCTTCTCCGGAGGCTGTGTAGGGGTCTTCTTGGCGCCCAGCGTCGCGCAAAGCAAGGAGGGACGCGGGACGGAGCCACGTCTCACCACAGGAGGAGTGGGCAGAAGGAGAGAAGAGAGCGCTAGGAGAGGTGCCACGGGGAAAGAGATGTCTTTCCTCTCTCAGGGTTGTGAGAAAAGCTAACGCCAAGGCTGAGAGTGGAGTGGGGGGACAGAGCTTGTGGTCCATCAACTTTTCCAGACCGGTTTTAATGTATAGAAAGGGCGTGTGCGTGTGAGCGTGTACGCGGCGGGCGCGAGGTGACCTTCTGGCGGGGTTAGGGAGGTGAGCCACGGTGTGGACTGTAATTTCCTCACTCACGTTTATTGCAGTAAAACATGCTGAGGAAACGCTGTGGTACTGTGAAGCAAGAAATATGGGACAGCTGATCGCAAGGAGGAGCCTGCTTAATTTTCTGCTTGTCTTTACTGGCTATCATGATTTACAAGGTAGAAACGTGAAAAGCCAACCCTGCTTTCCGGGACACAGAAATGTGGTGAAGATGCCTCGGAGTGTCAGAAATGGGGCTTTATCCTCAGAAGCACCTTTTTGCCTGTGGGCTCCATTCAGTCGTTAAAGGCAAGGGCTCAATAACCTGTGGTGATTAGGTGGCAGCAAGGAAGGCAGGAACTTCGCCATGGGGTACGACAAAGGCTGGATCTCGAGGAACGAGAGCGAGCATGCCCCGTACCAGGCTGTCACCAGAGCTCTGGAGATGAGGAACTCCTCGGCTGGGCAGATGGTGTGGCAGGGTGGGAACGGCAGTGAGGCTGGTGCCGCGGAGAGCGAGGAGCATGGCGAAGAGCAGACCTACAGGCATTTCACTACCACGGTGCAAATTGTCATTTTTGTGGGCTCTTTGCTGGGTAAGTGAGTGTTGCTGGAGTTTTTTGTTGATGTGGTTTGTTTATCCTTATGGTCAGGGACTGCAGACCAAATGGTAACTAACATCGTTTGCTGCTTAGTGACTCTTCTTTTCGCGTTTTAGGTCCTCAGGTGTATGATTTCAAGTTCCTTGTGGGTTTTTGATGTGTAAAAGCTGTTACTATAAAATGCCATTCATCACAGATGAGAACTGGTACATTATACATTTGTATTGCTTGGTAAACTTTTCCATCAGAATTTAAATGGGCAAAAATTAAATGGGTTGATTACACCCTTATTTTCAACTGTAATGGGATATGTTCTCTTTACCGTACAAAAAGGGTGTGGAGTATTTTAAACAAGTTTTACTGAATTTCTGTTTCACACTGCAGTAATTCTGTATTTGTGTCCTGCAGCTTTTAAATTAATCCTTTGGAAGTACTTTATGCTTTACACTTTATGCTGTAATATGTATAACCATGTGCAATCCTCCGTACTTGTTATCCTTCAGGTAGGAATCATAGACTTTAGATATGTGGTAGTAAACTAGTAATATATTGCCATAGAACTTTACAGACGTGTGTACATATGCTTTCTAGGTGCTTGTAGTATGTTGTTTTGTTAGGAATACATGGGCATTGTTTTAAAAAAAAAAAAGCAAAATAAGCCTTATGGTGAGTCAAGTTGGCGCTGTTTGGGAGATCAGTAAGCTAGATTTCAGTAAAATGTCACTACTATCTAAATCATTCAAAGCTGGTTACTGGAAATGATGAGGCTTTTGACACAAGGCTTGACTGAGAAAGTCTCCAGCTGTCTTAGGAGAGTTCAGCAGGACTTTGCTGATGGTCATTGGCTCTTATTATCAAGGATTTGTTTTTGTTTTTCCTGATCTTGAGTAATGCTAAAATCCATTTCTGTGGTCATGGTAATTAATTCTAATATTGATTTTTTTCTTGGTAATATTTAATATCACTTAATTTCTAAGAAGATGGTAAGCATGGTCTTGGAACAGCATTGAGCTCTGGGCTCAGTCAGTGATACACTTATATTACTGTACATCACTGAGTCTTTTGGCCTCAATTATTCCTCTGTGCAGGGGGGGTAATCTTCATGGTTCTTGCTTTTTTTGTATTTAGTGCATAGGTAGTGTGGGGAAGGGACTCTCTTTTTCCATATGTTGGATAGTGCCTGGCACAAAATGCTAGCCAGCAAATAGTGTCCTAAAAATAACGAGATGAATGTATTGCTCTTTACTGAATGGAAACAAAGCCACAAAGAAGCTGAAGCCTCGATCCCCAGAAGGTCTTAGGGCTTCGGTGCCTGCATGCTCAGCCCTCATACGTGCCAGATGTTTTGCTTATGCATGTGCTGCACACTGTCTCTGCTTCAGCAGGGGAGAACAGCTTGATATTTACCTCACACTTAGGCTTGCACAAATGCCGTTAATTAAGTTTTCCTCTTCATTTGTTCTCTGCCATGGTCCTTAGAGCGTGGGCGGCATCCAGCTCTTTTCTCCATCAGGTGAGGCCCTCAGTTGAGCTGCAGAATAGCAGTTCTTTGGTCCAGTGAGTCTTAGGTTCCTCTTTGCAGAGGGGAAACCCTTCAAGGGGAATTAGAACTATCCTTCCCCCTAAAGCATGAGATGGGGGGCACTCTCCTCAGAGGTAGGATGTGTGGGTTTGAATCCTTTCAGGTTTGGGTGGATGTGCAACTTGTACATCCCACAATGTCAGTGCGTGCTCAAGCCACTTTGCTATTGGATAAAATAGCACTACCCATTTGAAAGGAAGAAATGATTTCTACTTCCAGCTTGAAAAGAAACAAACATATATGCCTCAGTCTTGATAATGAATACTGGGGTCTGACATAAGCAGCAGTCTACAGCATAGAGAGGTCCAGGTCCTACAAGAGGCAAGAATCACAATCAGGGTTGTGAATTTAATTTGGGTTCCTTCTGTGCAGAAGAATGTGATGTGATAGTCAGTTGTGAGAGAGATGTATACTATGTTTTTTTCTCCTGTTTAAGACCCTTATTTGAGACCTGTGGGGAAACTTGTAACAGTAGGAGGAATTCTTGTGTTAGTTTTTGCTGTGTTGTGAAAGGATGGTGCTATGGTGTTTCATGATACCTGCCAAGGGCAAGGAAGTCAAACTGTTCTTTATGGTTACTTTAGAATACATTGAAAGCGCATCCTCAATTTATTTATTTATTTTAGGTAGCAATAACAATGATACTAGATTCTAGAATTTTTGTCTTTAGAAGGGATTATGTAGTTGTCACAAGCTTGCCAAAGCTTGAACTTGGATGTGACCTTAACATGTACATCAGAGGATCTAACTGGTAGAATCAACCAGAAGTATCAAGAAGAGGCTTGCTAACTGGCAGATTTTTTTCCTATCGTTTTTTGTCCTCATTTGTAGCAAGTTTTCATTGTTAAAAATTTCTGATTTTGTAAAGAATCAGATTATTCCAAGTTTGGAATGGACAAAACCATAATTATTAGTCTAAAAATCACTTATAATTTGGGGCAGTTAGAGATGAGAGTACTTCAGATAACTTGGTCATGAGTTACTGAGTTAATGAAGCTATAATGTGCTTAAATGCTACAGTTTTAAATAGCTGTTCATGTGACTTTGAGTCTGCACAAACTTCCTACTGTTGCTCTTCCACTGCTTGTGTGGAAGTTCTCACTTAGCAGACTACCTATGATTTTAATATTCAAGGACTGAGGAATAGGATGGGGTAAATCTGCATCTCTATACTTTGAACCCAGCTGGTACTACCTGTTATGCACTCCTTTGGCTGTAGCCTACCACAAGGTTTCCGCACAAGACAGGAGGCATTGGAGGGAGGAATTTGGTCAATTTAATTACCCCGATCAGCAGGTCAGTTTGCTTCTATGAAGGAAAGATTTGCAGTATATTCAAGACTTGCAAGCCATTTCTGTCTGTGATGCTTAGCTGAGTGCATGAACTGGGGAATTCATCTGGGGAGCTTTAAATGTTTTGCACATGTTGATGAACTTATTTATCAAATGCACAAGGTGAGGTACCAAGTGAGACTAGAAGGTCTTGTTAATGTTGTCTTCCTGTGCAGCTCCATGGCTGGTAATGGCAGTTCTCACAGTAATGGTATTTCCTAGCCTGTAAGCTATCAACTTAGGGCAGGGCTAGAACAAAACAGTGAAAACTCTTGCCACCGGTGTTTCTCGTTCCACTGTTTGAACTGTGCTAAGATCAGGGAATGTGGAACATGTTACAGAAAAAAATACAAGCGTGCTGAGCATCAGCAGAAGAACTAGGAAAAGACCTATGCCTCTCTTTTCTGATGCACATGTGTACTTGGTGCTCCCTGAAACCAGGACAGAAATCAAGAGAGTGGCTGCGTCAGGAACTCTGGAATGACAAGTGCATGTGTAGAGATGTGTTTCTGGTGTGGGGTCAAGGTGACTTGCACTCAGTAGTCTGCTTAGGCCATAGCTGTGCAGGTACAGTATGATTAAATCTGTTGCTTCTATGAAAAGTTACTCTAGGAGAATAGAAGCCAAAATAATTATGCTGCTTGGGTCAACTCTCTTATATGAATGACTGTTTTTTGGACCCCTCAATTGCCCCTAATTGGCTTAGCAAAAGGAAAGCTAATGTGCTGAATTTCTGTGTGTAATGCAGCAACTTTCACTACCTTAAATATGAGGAAAAGTGAAAGGCACCAATGGGGAGAACTAGCTGATTTTACTGGCCGCTAGAATGATGCAGACAGGAGCAGTGAGTGTGACATGAGAAGCAACACAAGCTGTCAGTACTGATTCCCTTCAGTTGACTTAATTCTATCTGGTAAAAGGTGTCAAGAGATTTGAGCTTTGCATGTCCTAACTTGTTTTGAAAGGATGTAGAAGTCGTCATTGGAAGAACAAAAATGGTAGAGATTTGCTTTGAGATTGATTGCTTCACTTCCACTAATCCTGCACAGATCTATCTGCTCTGCAGTCCCCTGTGTATTCTGCCTGACTCAGGTTAGATAATTTTTTACTTCCTTGTAAGAACTGTAGGAACTGTTTCATTTTGTCTAACCTGTGTTTCAGGCCAGTTCCCTCCACCTGCCACCAAATGGATGTGGCTAAAATGATTAAGTCAGGATTGCTTGCATAAGTGAATGATGATTTGCAGTCACGGTAATACTGGCTAGGGTCCTTAGCTGGCAAATTCAAATGACTACTATCGAAGGGATGGTGTTGTTCATGTGAAGTTGATAAAAGGAAGGATAAAATAAAATTTAGGTTTAGAACTACTGCTTTGTCAAATTACTAAAGTTTTGAAGATTAAAACCATATTCTCCATCCTCATGACTTTTTTTGGCGTGTTACCCTGTTTGTCTGTCTCAGGGTTCTTGCTGCAGAATCTTTCTTCTGAGTCTGTCCACTTCACAATGTTGTTCTGTCACCTATTGCCATAGTAGCTAGCAGAGCACCATCAGTGATACAAATTCGTAACAAAAGCACAGTTTTTCATGCAGTTTCTAAAGTTGCTCCTCTTTGAGCACGAGTAAAGTTCTGCTTGGGATTTTTTTTTCTTCTTTAAATAAAAAAAAGAGATTTTATGAGTTTTGCTGATTGTGTAGGGATTTCTTTAGAAGAGGACTGGCAAGTATCATTTGCATGGTAGAGAAGGAAAATCTGTAGTGTTCCCATGTCCATGGGAAGTTGGTTCCTCTTGCTGGAGAATGGTTAGGCTTCAGCTTTTGTATCATTTGTCGTCATCCTAATGGTCGGCATGTCCCAGGGCAATCCAGGGCACTGCTGGTTGTGCCCACGACTCCCCCATTGTGCTAGCTTGTCTGTACCTTTGCCATGTATGGATAGGGCTTGTTCTCACAGGGCGAGTTGAGGAACCGGGAAGTTCAGGAGCCCTTCAAGGGGACACCAGTTTTTGTTGCCTGCTACTGTGGCGAAGAGAAGTTTATGATTTGACTGACTGAGATCAATGGGCCAGGAAAGTCAGACTG